TAAGGGGCCCTGATTTTTGTTGACACTACCAGAGGGCCACATAGCACGGCACACTTACCCAAATGTAATAAAACTGCCATTTTAAAAATGTTTGTTTAATAAACCAACATACAGTGCAGTAATTTAACATATTTCATGCTCAAATGCATGTATAACAGTTGTGCTCTAGTTTAATTGAAGCAAGCAAAAATTAAATACTTACGTTAGTGAGCTGAAGCACAACGGCATAAGACGTCTTGGGGGCAGATTCTTGTGTGKTTCTGGTAGAAAGTTGCTGTTGCTTATGTACTTGCGGCTTCAGTAAACATCTCATATTTAGCTTTGTGCAGTATGTTATACTGGTGACTTCTATTAAAATTCTTAATATCAGAGTGTCTCTAAGCATACTAAACATAGGTTTGCCTTGAAACTCTGTAAATAGATAGTCTACCTCCCAAAAGGAAAAAAAAGAATAATAAAAAAATGTTGGGCCTGACGGAAGTCATACACCGACCACATACGGCCCGTGGGTCACCAGTTGCCCATGCCTGATCTAATCCATCAGGAGCTTTACAAAACAACTTCAGATGGTTAGCTAGCTAAGCTTTCGGCTAGCTAGCTCCTTAGCAGTTTTGTGGATGGGAAAGACTTCCATGTAAGCCTAGCACATTGAACTTTTCAATGAGGGCYATTGCCTAACAATAGGCGATGGCCCTCTTTTGCATGTGACTAAATAGAGCTAATCAAGCCTATTGTTAGGCGATGGTCCTCTTTTGCATGTGACTAACCTGTTTGTCCAGGTGGAGGCAGTTCTTCTAAGGCGGAGTTCACCTGAAACTCATCAGACTGAAGAAGTCTCTTGGAGGAGAGACGAAACGTTTCACTAAAGAAGAAMCCGTCCAGAGGACCTACTTATTTTTTTCTTTTTTGATCGAACTTTTCAGTTCCTTTTTTTATGCGACTTGTTTGGAGCAACTTTAAATCAAGTGTAACAAAGTGGCAACGTTTCAACTAMACTAACATGAATAAAGACTACATAACATCTAAACAAACAAGGGCTTTTTAAAAACAACAGGTGTCTAATCTTTAGCACTGTTGCAGCTGCAGCTAGCAGTGTTGAGTTTCAACCTTGCAGGGTGAAAAAGTCACGCAGCACTTCGACCAAAGAAAAGCGTAACAGCTCAGCGTCTCATTAGCTGCACTACAAACAGATGGGCTGCCAGATTTTGACCAGAGAGCTCCATTTCTTCACCCTAATTTTATTGTCACGTGCCATCAGCATATTCCACCCGAGCTGTTCCACATTTACCCGGCGTGTATAAAACTTTGCCCGTGTACGTTTCGTTTAACCTCAGCTGCTGACTCGGACCTACAGTATGCGGCTGTCACTGAAACAGGACCTGCGGCGACAGTGAATTGCTTTAATCAGCTTAATAGGAAATTGATCTTGATGYAGGGCAGATGCGATGTGGGTCACGACGGCTGCAGCATCCCACAAAGTTGACCTGAATTTCACATTACTTAAAGCTGCTGTATGTAGTTTCTTCAGTGTTGCCAGATGGGAAATGTTGAATTATCGTATCAGCAGCTCAAAATTATCGTATTTTGAKGAAAATTATCGTACACACCCAAGTTACCTTCTATAGAAGCTCAAATTTACAAATACATCCTGCTCAGCT